TATATATACACACACACACACACACACACACAAAGATTGTCATCACAATCATTTTAAAAGGCCAGAGATAAAAGGTCAGTGACACTCCACTTGTACTAAAAAAAAAAAAAAGTAATTTTGAAGCTGGGCATGGTGATGCACACCTGCAATCCCACCATTTGGGACGAGACAGGAGGATCACCATGAGTTTGAGGACAGCCTGGGCTACACAGCAAGACCCCTGGCGTGAAAACTCACAGTAATCCTTCTGCTTCAATGACTCTCAAGTGGGAAACATTACTTAAAATAGCCCTTTTTTTTTGGCTGGCTCAGGCTGCCTTAAGGGCAGGTCTGGTGCGGCTTGTGGTGCTGGGGATAGAACTGCAATCTACTGCTCCTGACTGGTTTTGCTAAAGAAGGCGCTTTAGACAACTGAGCTAACCCGCCAGCCCCCACTAGTCATATATTCTTTTTTTTTTCTATTTTTTAAAATTTTATTTATTAAGCCAGGGGGCGGGGCTGGCTGGCATGTGGTGCTGGGGATTGAACTGCGGTCCGTGTGCTTTGCTAAGCTTGTTCTAAGTAGGTGCTTTAGACCACTGAGCCATCTCACCAGCCCAGTCATATATTCTCATCTATTTCTAAAATGTCAGAGTTCTTGGTCAGACTTGCAGACAGGTTTAACAGATTTGCAGCAACCTCCAAACTGTTCTTGGTGACACTAATATTCCTCTGGCTGAATTTGAGACCAGAGGGGCATATTTTTAAAACATCACCTTAGAATACATTTTAGGATGAATTTTTCATGTCAAAATAAATATATAAATCCAATATGAAAGGGCTGGGGATATAGCTCAGCAGCATAAGTGCCTGCCTAGCAAGCGAAAGGTCCTGAGTTTGATACCTGATATGGGGGGGGGGGGGCGAGAAAAGAAAGATAGAAGGGAAGGAAGAAAAAAATTAAATCCAGAACCAGGGAGATAAGGCTGGGGAGATAGCTCAGTGGAATAAGCACTTCCTTGGTAAGTGCAAGGGCCTGAGTTCCATCCCCAGTTCTGTTAAAAAAAAAAAAAAAAAAAAAGAACCACGGAGATAGATCAGTGACATAAGCACCTGCCTTGCAAGCACAAGGTCCTGAATTTGATCCCTGGTACTACAAAATAAATTAATAAGGTAATAAATTAAATTCAACATGAGTACAATGATGTAAAATAAAAACACGTCACTACAGTAGAAAATATGCACAATATACCATATACTCAAGGAACTCGTTTCAATTTTCTGTATCTTGCATATATATATATATATATATATATATATATATATATGTTTTTTGGGGTGTGTGTGTTTGTGTGTTTGGTCTGAGACAGGGGCTTGCTACTCAGTTCAGGATGGCCTTGAACTCACTCTGTAGCCCAGGCTGATCTCAAACTAGCAATGATCTTCCTGCGTCAGCCTCAGAGTGCTGGCATTACAGGTGTGCACCACCACACCTGGCTGTTTTTGAGATAGGGTGTCAGTGTGTACTTCAGGTAGGCCTTAAAGTCACAATTAGCCCAGCATGGCCTAAAACTTGTGATAATCTTCTTGCCTCAGCCTCCCTAGTGCTGGGGTTCCAAGCCTGTGCTATTCCACCCAACTCAAAATTTCAAAAATAGGGGGCCTGCCCATCAGCTGTTGTTTAAGGGCCTGCTTAAGCAAAGGCGGTCAGGCTCAGGATACTGTGGTTCAATCCCCAGATCTTCAGGCCTTATCAGACCTGCCCTTAAGGCAACCTGAGCCAGCTTAAAAAAAAAAAAAAAATCATTCTCAACTTTTTGGGCCACTGAGGTAATTCAGTAGAAAGGCCAGCCAGATAGCTCAGTGGATTAAAGCATCTGCTTAGGCAGACACAGGGATTGGGGATTTGCTAGCCAGCCTGCCATGCCAGCCCCGCCTCCAGGGTGTGCTGAGACAGCGATTGAGACTGGGCATGGTAGCACACCCTTGTAATCCCAGAGCTCGGGAGGCTGAAAAACAGAAGGGTCACTAGTCCAATCTGCATAGTGAGACTCTGGAGACCCTACACTAACCACACACACACACACACACACACACACACACACACACAAATAAAAGCCATGTAAAAGCAGCAACTGAGGGCTGGGAAGATGGCTCAGTAGAATAAGCGCTTGCCTGGCAAGCTCAAGAGCCTGAGTTCAATCCTCGGTTCCGCAAAAAAAAAAAAAAAGCAGCAACTGATATAAAAGCCAACAGTGCAAATAAAATGGATTCCTCATATAAGACTATAAAATGAGCTCTAAACACTCCATAGGTCTGTTTCTGGACACTTTAATGACACCATTTTAATGATACCAGTTAACTCCTACTTCTGTATGTTTGCTGTACACTGCTTTAAACTGCAGGTTATACCATATGCAGTAAAGTTTGAAAAAAAAAAAAAAGTTCGGCTAGGATGCTTACTTACGCCAGAAAATGTTACCAGGAAACACGCAGAAACCAGCAACTTAGAAGTAATCAAGAGCACTGTATTGCTGACATCTTTCGTGGTATGAATCCCACGTCCACCTGCGGCCATTACTGTTCCCTGTCCAACCTATGAGTTCCATCCCAAGCTACCTAATGTCTTGGACCTCAGTCCCATCACTCCTAAAATAAGACGAGATCTGCCTCAAAAGATCTGAGGGTTAAATGAACAAAGATTTTTTAAAATTTTTATTCATACACGACCGCAGTCCATTCATCATGGGGAGCTGGCGCACACAGAGCCCATCTTCTTCTTTCTTTGGCCCCTGCCCCTCCATTTTTCAGTCCTTTTTGTAAAAGCTTTATCTTCCTTCCAGTGAGCTTTGCTTGTGTGTGTGTGTGTGTGTGTGTGTGTGTGTGTGTGTGTGTGTGTTTCCCAGTTCCAGGTCCATTTTATTGCCTCTTTCTCAAAGGTTCTTTAATAAGCAGCATAAGACATTCTCATACTCCAGAGGGCCTTTACTAGACTAGAAAGCCAAGCAAATATTAGTCTTCTTTGGGCTAGTGAGATATCTCACTGGTCCAAGCACCTGCTTGGCAAGTGCAGGGACCTGAGTTCGATTCCCGGTGCTGGATGTTATGCCGGCCCTGCCCCAAGCCTACAGAGCAGCCCTAGACTGGGCATGGTGACACAAGTCTATAATCCCAGGGCTGGGAGGCTGAAACAGGAGGATCACTATGAGTCTGAGCTGTGTAGCGAGATCCAGGGCATGTTTCTTTGCTGGTACAGTTTGTGATCAAAGGCTGTGCTGGAAAGTGAAAACTGCTTTGCTATTGTTTCTTTTTTTTTTTTTTTTAATTTTATTTATTTATTTGTGTGTGTGTGTGTGTGTGTGTGTGTGGCCAGCTCAGCCCACCAGGGGGCGGGGCTGGCTGGCATGTGGTGCTGGGGGATTGAACCGCGGTCCCTGTGCTTTGCTAAACTTGTTCTAAGTAGGTGCTTTAGACCACTGAGCCATCTCACCAGCCCCCTGCTTTGCTATTCTTCTTCTTCCTCTTTTTTTACTGGAAATCAAACTCAGGATCTTATGCTTGCCAGGCAGGGACTCTGCTGAGCTATATCCCTAGTCCTGGTTGCTGTTAAGACTCCCCCTTGGGTGTAGATTAAAAGTTGACTGAACCACTACAACAAAACCATGCAAAAAGTATGCATAGGGCTGGGAATATAGCTCAGTGGCAGGGAGACTGCCTGACAAGAAGGAGGTCCTGAGTTCGGTTCATTATTCAGTGTGACACAGGGCTGCTGGACGCCTGAGGTCCTGGTGGAGGCAGGTTGCTCATT